GTGGGCTGGAGGGGGGCGTGAGCATGGTGGAGTCTGAGGTGTTGAAGCTTTGGCTGCCCAGGGTCTTCATGTTGGAGGAGCTCCCTTGCAGGCCCAGGCCGGAGCTGCTGGACAGGTCCCTCCGGTCCTCGTGGGAGCTCTTCGGTTCTCTGTCAGATGGCGACTTAAGTGTCAGCGGCGAGGGCTGGTCACCATCTGACTGGGGCAGGCCCAGCCTTTTAGGAGCAGGCAGAGGCTTGAGAAGATGGAGCCCCTCATCCTGGGGGGACTTCTCAACTGAACAGGATTTTAGGGACACAGGTTTGAAGAGGGGCGAGGGGAAGAGGGGCGAGGGGAAGCGGGGCTCGGGCCCCTTGCTGCGATCCACAGGCATGAGCCCGAGGCTGCGGCGGATCTCGGCGCTCTTCATCCAGAACTCCTCCACCAGGTCACTGCGTTTGAGGGCCTCATCCACAGCAAGAGGGCTGCTCAGTCTGTCCTTGGTGTCACCTGGGCTCTTCTTGGGGAGTGGGGTCAGTGGGGTGGAGGTTTTGGCAGCAACAGGTTGGAAGCATATGGGGGACTTGGTGGGGGATGGCACGGTGACCTCGGAGGCAGGCTGTGGCTGGGAGCAGATGGGGAGCGGGGTGGAAATGGAGGGGGCCAGCGGTGACAGGTGCTGCGAACTAAGTGGTGAGGTAGGAGTCTTGGCTTCTGGCAGAGCCCCTGGCTGAGATCGGATGGGAGCGGGCACTGCCTTCTGATCACCAAGGGCTTCAGCTCTGGGCTGCTCTCTGGGGAGCGAAGCCTCCGGGAAAAGGTGCTTCTCAGGTGATCTCACCTTGGTGCCAGCAGAGGCAGGAGGGACTCGGGCCCCCTACAGAAGGGGAAGAGAGACAAGCTGCTCAGAAGACAAGGGTTTTAATGGTCAGCAAAAATTCCTCAGGGAGCTTTCTCTCTCCAAGGGCCTACACTTGTTGACATAAATTTGCTCCATCCTTTTAGCTCTCATTCAGATAGCTCTGGGGGAACCTTTCCCACTTTCTGCTCTGTTTGTTCAGTTTTTAGAACCACTCAACTTTGCTTTCAGAGTTTGGTTCATTTGAAACATGTCCTATATTCTTGGTTGTCTGAAATGAATACTGGCCAAAAGAACACTGATAAATTTAGCTCTCACCTCCCACCAGCAACCCCCAGAGCTCCAAGATCCCTGATGTTTGAACATAGAGCTGGCACTGTACGATCTGAAATAGTTACTTATTACAGTCTGTATTACAACCAAGTTGTCCTTCCCTGGAAGCTCAAAGATCACTAACCCTTCTATCACCCCATTCAGGTGTCTCAGTAAAATAAAGGACCCTCCACAACCACCCTGAAGGTGGTGGCTTCCTAGAATACCAAAGACCAAACCAAGCAGACCCAGGTCTTGTGCTAGGGCCTACCTCCCGGACCTGTGCTCTGGCCAGTATTTCCCAAGCCACGTTCCACAGGACATATTGCTGCAATCTATTTACATAGCATTCTGCAATGTACGGCTCATACATCACTGGCAATCTGGATGCGTATTTTTAATTTTAATAATTAGATGTTTATCTTAACATAATACTGAGAAAAGAATGTTTCTGTCCTATCAAACCAATGATCCCATAAATATTATTGCTTTAATTTAAAAACAAATCGGCCTTTAAGATGGGGTGGTGTGTGGGCACGGCAGAGCGACCTGGGCGGGCCTCAGGCCTGAGGTCAGTGTGCAGCAAGGTTAGGGCAGTGCTGCCCGACTGCCCCAGCCCCACGAGGGGGAGCTAGGGTCCCCAGGCCGCACCTGCTGCTAACGGCTACACTTAGCACAAGGAGAAAACATTTTTTAATGTTCCTCAGAGGAGGGTAGTAGGGTCCTTAACCTCCAGTCTTTGTGGGGTTCAGACCATAGGCCCTCACACAGAGGAGTTACTACACCCCTCTGGGTCCCATTGACTCCATTTCCCACGGTGAGCCTCAAACCCTTACCTCTGCCGTGGGGCTGTGGACTGGAGTAGACAGAACAGCTGGTTCCTGAGGGGACCAGAGAGGACTGGAGGCTTGGGCAGGATCTGAAAAGAACGGACACAGGGACTTAACAAGAGGAAACCACCCTGTTCACGCTAGGAGGACATTGTGCCATTGGCCAGCATCTGCGGTGGTGGGAAGGAGGTCAGACACCAGGGGTTCCTGGCTCATGTCTCCTTGCAGCACCCTTGGCTGGCACCCTCAACAGCATGAGTCAGAGCCAACGGTCTTCATGTGTGTGATCTGTGTCCAAAGCTCTGAGATGTCCCTCTACCCTCTTATATCCCCAAACAACACAAGGAAAGGGGCTGCTGGCAGAGCTGGTTGCAGAGGCCGTGGCACAGGCAGGCTGGGGAGGCAAAGCATTGCAGCTGCCTCCAGACCCACGTCCTCTGCCACGCTGGTGCTCACGGGGCTCTCCACAGCAATTCTGGAAGCTGTTTCTTCTGCCAACAACGAGACTCACCTCTCTCTTGTCGCTTTGGCAAGGCGAGTGGCTCTTCCTCCTCATTTCCCGATAGCCTCGGCTCTAGCTCCACTCCCGCCTCAGCCAGGTGCCGTGCGTGAGGCTCCGCTTCAGCATCTGATGGAGTGTCGTCAGACCACTGCTGATCTGGTGCAGGGAAGAGAGGACACAGAGCTGGCATGCACCCTGCATGAGGCCATGCCCCCTCTGTCTCCTGCCGCCCTCGGAGAATGGCCCAGCCGGCTGGTCAAGCGCAGTGCAGTGCTCGAGGGCTGGACCAGCTCCGGGTGTTGGAAGCCCCGCCCCTGCCTGGGGACAGACCCTGCCTGCTGGTCCACCCAGCTTCAGAGCACACACTGTCCTCTGCAGTGTGGTGGTGTCACCAGAGCCTGTGGTGCTGTGCATTCTTTTTAAACACAGCAACAATGATGCAGGACAGGCCACAACAGAAAGAAACTGTGTGTGTCTGTGGAGGCAGCCTTGCTCCGTGGACCTCTCACTGGCCCTGACACAACACCCCAACCCCAAGGCTGAGGTCTGCACCTCAACAGTCCTGACTGGACTTCTCATTTCTCTCTAGCCTCACCTCCGCCCCTGTCCCCCAATCAACCATACTCAGTTTCTAAAATGCCATCTTCTGTGTCCTGTGTCTAGCTTTCAGAGGGCACCTACTGGCTTACAGGCCTGTATAAAGCCCCAGATTTGCTCAGCCTCTCAACCACAGCTGGGTGAACGCAGGCCACCTCCAATGGTGGCTCTCAGGGGTGAGTGAAACGAGACACCATCAAGTTACTGGTGGAACAAGGAACGAACCAAGAGACCTAAGGGTGTCCTCTGAGCTCCTTGCTTTGGCTTTAAAGTACGTTGTCTGTATCATTCCTGATTTCCAGTCACTCTGGCCCTGTCCCCACTGGGGAACGAGCAGTCACCAGGTAGTGAGGAGGCCAGGCTCGTACCATCGTCCAGCTCAGCGCCAGTGTCCCCTGGGTCCCCCTCTTCCACTGCCTCGCCTTCTATCTCTGCCAGCTCCGAGTCCACATCTTCTTTCAGGTCGTCCTCATCTGATGGGACTGCAAAGCAGAAATATTCCAAGAAAGAAAGAAAAGGAAAGACAGGTGGACGGGTGGGAAAGAGGTGCTGCTTGTCTTGGGCTGCAGTGCAGAGGCCATGCGGAGAAGGGAGGATTGGCCCGCCTGGGAGTTCTCTAGAGCAGCACGGCCGGGGAGGCCCTGGCCCCCAGCACAGCGGGGCAGCGCTTCTCGACTCTGATAGGCCCAACAGAAGGGGCAGAGCAGCTGAAGGCCAGGCTTTGCCTTTTCCTCCGGAGGCTGCTGGAAGAGAGTCGTTTGGAAGGATGGAGGGGAAAGCTGCTTCTCCAGGCCCAGCAGGCACCCAGTTGAGAATTCAGCAGGGGCTCGTGCCAGGCCTGAGAGGACTAACCCGTCCCACACATCCTCATGATAACATGACCAGAAGGACCGCTTCTAACCCCTATCTTTCAGTGATAAAACTGAGGTCCAGACGGTCTGGGTAATCTGCTCATGGTCACACTGCTCAGCCCAGCAGTGTTGTGTGGAAGCGACACAGGACCACTGAGCAACAGGACTCCGACGGCCCCTCCCCTTCAACTGGCAGAGGCTGCAGCTTCTTTGGGGATAATTTAGAGAAATACCCTTTTTAAGCACAGGGGGAGGGCCTGAGGGGATACTAGAGCTCACTTTCTGGCCTCAAGAGTAGCCTCAAAACATACGAGCACCGATCAATTTCACTCCTCCTGAGGAGCAACCAGCTCCTGCACACCCAGGACTCGCCCAACAGCTCAGAGCAAGCACTGCAGTTAAGAAAGTAGCAAACACCACTGAGAGGACGTGGAGACCCTTGTGTCACCTGAGACCCAGGCAGCCTTGGTCAGGTGTCCTGAGGGCTTCTTCCAGGGTTCTAAGCCCAGCCACCCTCAATCGTTCCTACAAGTTTTCATTTCAGGAAAAGGGGTCATGCTTTGATCTGCATACACCAGAGCCTGAGGACCAAAGCCCAGGGCAGGTGAGCAGCAGAGGCACTAGCTGCGGCGCAGTTGTGTGACAATGGGAGGGCAGGCCATTGGGCAGCTGGACCCCCCATGGTGCATGTGTCCTTTCCACAGGTGACCTCATGATCTGCACCCCTGATGCCTTCAGGATGTGCACAAAGACAATGGCTCCAACAGAGTAGCCGCCACCAAGGTTGATTGTCACGAAAATCATGGAAGTGACCACCCTGGGGGGAGAAAGGAACTGTGACTAGGAAGGGACACGTGGAAGATGCTGCAATGCTTTACCTCTTGACCTGGGTGGTAGTTACATGAGTTCTTGTTCCTTTAATAATTCCTTTAGCTGTGTACACAGCTTATTGTTTGTGCACAGCTTGTAAGATGATGGTTCAAACACGGTTTTTGGAGAACTCTATGAGACAGGTTTGGAATAGAAAGGACAGACATCCGGGTCACAGGCAAAGGTGAGAGTTCCCAGACGGGCTGGCGAGCAGGCAGTGCCCCATTCCTCCTCCTGAGACACCAGGGCAGCCCAATGCCGGGATGCCCCCTGTCACGATGGCATTTGCTGGGAAAAATACTGGGGAAGAATTACTTAATTATTTCCCCGGGTCAAACCTCTGTCTGAGAGCGCTGCCTCTGCCACTGACAGCAGAGGGTGTGCCAGCACCAGGGAGCGGGAACTCTGAGGCACAAACCAAACTCGCCAGAGCACTGCTCTCCTCTGCTGAGCTCGACTTCTGGACTTCGAGTTCATCACTGCACTACATCATTTCTGACAAGGCTGGTGGAACCAGAACGACCCAGTGGACAGGGTCCACTGCGCTGACAGGTCGGCTTGAGAGATTCTGTGCGTGCCTGGGCACAGAGATGGTAACTCTACTCTCTCGGCAAGTGAACTGGAGCGAGCACAGAGGAGCCACCACACAGGACTCCCCGGTGAGGCCTGGCTCAGGTGCACCGCACTAGCCTGACCCAGTCCTGGTCCGCGGTTCTTCATGTGATTCTCTTACTCAGAGTTTCTACTAAGAAACACCAGCTGTAGAGCCAGAAGGGTAAGACATTTACACTCCTCGGGAATACCTTCAAAGGAATAAATGTCACAACATATCAAAAACAAACACGTGAGGGCCAGCCCGTGGCTCACTCGGGAGAGTGCGGTGCTGACAACACCAAGGCCACGGGTTCAGAGCCTATATAGGGATGGCCGGTATGTTCACTGGCTGAGTGTGGTGCTGACAACACCAAGCCAAGGGTTAAGACCCCCTTACCGGTCATCGTTAAAAAAACAAAACAAAACAAAAAACAAGTGAGAAATGTCAGCGCAGCAGCAGCAAATGTTGATAGAGACACAGCTCGAGGGATGGAACTGGGGATTAGATCCAGGTTAAAACGAGGCACGGCGTGCGAGCAGCTGCCACACTGTGATGAAAGCCAAGAGTCGCTGACAGACTTAGTTCTTGGGCTACTCCAGCTGCCAGCTGGGAAGTCCTGACACCTCAGCCTCGTCCCGCCATCCTGGGGACACACGCTAACTACAATCATAAGCAGCGGCTTCTGTTCACAGGGCTAATGGCTTGGGGTTGGCTGCACTGGGCGTCGGATGACATTCTCTCTCCTCATGGCCCTGGGGAGGCCCAGCAAGTGTGCACCTACTTTTTCTGCTGCCAGCGAGGACAACGGGATGGGCTGGTGAAGATCTATGAGCTCCAGTCCTGCCCAACTCAGAAGGGACCGCGAGGACAGCGGTCCTCATTTGGGAGCAATGCTGCCTCTCTTCAAGTGGTGACTGAGGACACGTGAGGGGCTCTGGCTGTCTTAATGGCTGGGCTGGGGATGGGGCTGTTACTGACATTCAGCCCCACGGAGGCCAAGGATGTTAAACATCCTGCAAAAAGTGTCCTGCCCAAAATGCCAGTGACCCCCTTGTTGAGAAACACGTTTCCAAAAACACTTAGGAAGGACAACTAAGGTTTTTCAACTATTTCTTGGGCTAAGTACTTAAACAGACATGTACACTTTAGTCTGGAGATCCAGCTGATGACACATCAGTTTGTACCCAGCCTGTCCTACCTTCAGCTGAATAGTGTCCATCCATCCTCTGCTCTCTCCTCTTCACTGATAAGTTTTCCATAACCCCCTCCCCCAACCTTTTGACTTTCCTTCCTGACACTTTGGTAGGTTTGTGGAATACTATCTGATTCCTCTACTTTCCCACTGAATTTCTACCCAACTTAATTTCAATAGACTTTAAACCTCAGTGCTAAAAAATGTTCCTTCAGCCCTGCCCTTTATCAGCAAAGTAAGCCTCAATTACTAAAAAACAAGTTTGTCTCTGTCTGTCTACACTGCTGACTGCTGCCTTCCTGACGTGCCTGGAGGTTGCAGGATGGCCCATGCAAGGATGGCCGCCTAAGGGAGGCATGCACGTGGCCCCACCCGCTCCTCTGCGCCCTCGCATGCACCAGCAACAGGGCCAGAGGTCTAGTGTTAAGGTACCAGCGAGCCGCTGAGAGACAGAGAGAGAGAAAGAGAGGTTACAGTGAAGGGAGAGAGACCAAACATCACCAGACTACCTCCGGAGACCGTCTCCAGCCAGGCCTGCACTGCTGCGCGGCGTATGGAGGGAAGATCGGGCACTGAATTTAAAACAGATGATAAACACAAAGTTACACAGCAATGAGCATTCCCAATGAGGAGAGCTGAGGTCATTCCTGAAGTCCCACATAGAAGAGAAACTGAGATGGTATCGCAAGACAGACGCCCGTCCGGCACCACCGAGGAGCGACAGTCCCACTGTCAGCCTACATGGTGGGTGTTCAGGACGAGAGAAGAGAAAATCCAAGGAAGCGCCAGCATTGGCTCAGGTCTGCAGGGCCATCCTGAGCTTGCAGGCCAGACCAAGGCCTCTCTCACCAAGTTCTGCAGAGCTGCTGGGCATTTACAGTAACGCAAAAGCCGGTACCAGAGCTTGCCTATAGGTGAAGACTTGGGGCTGGGGAGGATCAAATGTCCCATGAAATGCTACGCTCCATGCAGGCAGGAGCTGCCCTCTTTGTCACTCAGAGCTTGTAACAAGTGCTGAATGAACTCATGAAGACAGAGCGCTGGAGGCAGGGCTGCTGACACCGAGGATCCATGTGTGGAAGATGCGTGTGCTCAGGAGTACGACACGGCAGCCACCACATCCTTCAACAGCCTTTTTTTAAAAAATTGTTATTCCCTAAAAGAAGCCAGGATAAGGCACATCTCCATTCTACTGTGAAACACAGATCATCTCACCTAAAGCCTGGAGTTGGAAATTATGGTAGCTACTTTGGAGCCTCCTTGATATAAATCTCTTCTTAAAACTTTATTTCACTTCAAAATAGGCTCCCCACCATCCTGCCAATACACATTCACACCCAGACACACCCCATGAGGAAAGCACCAGAATACTTCATAAAGTGGGGAAAGAGAAACCTTGCTTAGAAATAAGGGGGAAGGAAAGCAAATTCTTGGTGTTCCCAAGGTCAGGCTCATTTTTCTATTTTGCATCAATGGAGAAAGAGCCCACAACCTCTTAATCCACAGAGAACTTTTCATATCCTCAAATGAAGGTCAAGGGCAATCATCACAATTAACGTCAGGAAAACAAAACATTCTGCTGGCTCATACTTTTGAGAAAACTGATGGGGCAGCCCTAACGGAAGGGCCTCTGTAGCAGCAGGAGGCACGCTGGGCCCTGGTCTGGAAGCGGTTACCTCTGGAGGCAGAGGACTCGGGGGTTGACGCCGTCCTCTCCTGCTGCTCTGTCTCACGAATGTGTGTCCAGTGCACGTCAGCCTGGATCTCCAAGGGACCAGCTGGGTTTAAGACCTCCTCCAGCCGCTGGCTCCCAGCTACTGTACCAGGTTCAAGGGGTGGAGGAGATGATGGGGAGGAAGGAAGGAGAAAATAAACAGCCAAGGAAAGGAGGGGATGAAATGTCACAGGAAAGAAAACAGAAAGAAAAGTTACAGTATTTACAGCATCAGTCTGAGTGAGAAAGAGGTGACAATGGAGAACATGCACACACATGCACATGCATGCACACACACGACTTCTATTCATTTGATTAGATTTCGTCATTTCAAGCTTCACATGTGCTCTTGACCTCAATGAAGAGAAGAACCACACATTCCAATCCCAAATGCAGAAAGAACTTTCCTTTCTGATGCTCTTTTCATCCTAACCTGCATTTCAGGGACCCCCATGTCAAGTTGGAAAAAAAGAGCAGATTAAAACTGGCCTCTGAGGGGCTATCCCTCCAGGAGTCATGAGGAGTCAGCTGTCACCTGGCACAGCGTGAGACCCCCGGGTATGCACCACTCCTGCCCCTTCTGTGTGTCGCACGGCAAGGTGCTTACCACCACCTGCCAAGCTGATGGCTTCTTGGAGACAAGCCAAGTGATAAGGGAGAGGGGGATGGGACGGTGTCATCCTGTCATGAACCAGCTAGCAAACATGGGACAGAATGTACTTTGTTGGTGCTTTAGTTTATATCTTCTGTAGCTAGAGCTGCTGCTAGAGAGAAACATTCCCCTCTGTGATGGGCCTCGTGCTGTGTGCTGGTTCTGTGGCAGGGACACAGATATGGGAAGGAGATGGAGTCGGGGAGGCAGGGGCTGGGAGAGGAAGCACAGCTCTATCCTGTAAATGCCCAAGGCTCTGGTAGTTTGAGGTAGGATGGAACCAAGATCACCCTGCTTTTCCTGAGGTCAAAGCCTTTTGCTGAAAATTCTACCTTGTGTCCTGCTGATCCCCTCTGGACACAAGACCTTGTTTCTCAGCTAAATGAAAACGTATCAGTGGCCCTTTCAGATTATTCTTGCTGTCAGAGCCCAAGAACTCTGCATGCAGCCCCTGCCCTGTGGGTTCCCTCTAATTAGTGCCTGGACCATGCCATACAGTTGGGTTAAGATAAAGGGACAGGCAGCAACTTGGGGAAGGGGACACTATGGGAGGAAAGATGACTGTGCAGACATCAAGGTGCCACATGACCTAAAGGACTCTGGGTTCCTGATGGAGCCAGTGTATGTCACCTTTCCCTCAACAACCCAACTGGACAATCTGGCTTTGCTTCAGTCACTATAATGACAACATCTTCAGTCCAAATGTTGAGGAATGTGACACGGGCAAAAAGTACTAATAAGACCACCACACTCCGCTGCATGTGGGGCATCAGCCCCTCACACATGCCTTACTGGGGCTGCTGGTCTCTACAGACTCACAGACTTTTCCCAAGATCAATTAGCCTTTATGGTGCTGGACAGGGCTGAACCACAGCAAGACACCAGCCCTGCATGTCTGAGGACTGAGGAACGTTTAAGTCAGAGAGAAACCCTTGCTCTACCTCCCAAGCAACAAAGGGAAGAGAGTGCTTGTTCTCCCTGAGCAAAGTTCTGCTCCTGTTAATACAACAGCATGAAGCCAGCATTTCACCCTTCCTCAGAAATGTTAAAGGCTCCTGTAGCAGTGATCTGGGGATGTCTGCCTTAAAGAAGCTGAGTCTTAACTGGATGAGGGGGACTTGCTGCACAATGTCCAGGGCACAGATGGGGCCACACTCCAAAAGGCTGTCTCTGGATTCTCCCGAGGCTCACCTGCTGCTCTGCATACAGCTGTCTGTGTAGGGGTGGGTGCCAGCTAGACACATGCAAAGGCTCTCAGCACAGCTCCAGAAAACACAGATCCTTTCATGTGGGACCAGCTCTTGAAGGCAAATTCTATCCTGGATGCTAGGGAGCCAGGGTACAGTGGGCGAAGAGCAGAGCGTGTGACCTTCCATATACCCGTGTCTTGTTCTTTTGAGAGAGGCCAGAGCCCTGGCAGGGCAGGTACCTGTCCTGGGACAGTACCCCCCATCTACAGCAGGGGGAGCCAGACGCCTATGCAGCATCAAGAATCCCGCAGGGGGACAAACAGAGAAAGGGGGACGGACGGAGGGAAGAGCCACCTCCAGCTGCAAGGCAGCAAGCATGCTGCCACCACCCCACAGGCTTCAAGATTTGCTGCCCACAAGACACACACTCTCCAGGCAGGAATGCCAACACAGGCCCCATCTGGGAGCACCCAGAGTTAGGCCGAACTTGCGGGTATGTGTTCACTAGTTAAAGCCTGCTCCTTACAGGTTTGGTCTGGACCTTAGGTCCAATCAAGGAAATTAAGTCTACCTGAGGGAAAGCTGGGCTAAAACCTCCTAAGCAGGGAACAAGCTGACCCTGAGCTGTGTTGGGGTTAGAAGCCACTAAGCGTTAACCGTCAGATGGAGGTCATGATATCTGGAGGGACAGGAACTAAACACCTCTCCCCTGGTGAGCCGTGGCCGTGATCACCCCGGCTAGCAGGGGCGTGGGCAGCTCTGGACAGCATGGCTCTGCAGGCACAGCCTCCTTCCTGCACAGACCTTACTCATCTCTCCCAAAGCGGGCTGAGCACAGAGTGGCAGGCCACCCAGCACTGCCCATGGGTGCTGCCTGCCTGCAGGGGACGGGGAGAGGAGGCCTTGGCCCTGTGCACCCCGTCCCTGTGCCCACCTCACTGGGACAGTGCTGCAAGCCGTGCAGCTCTTGGCTGCTCAGGAACTTCAGCTGCATTGGAGAGGGGCTCCTCATCTGGCCAGCACTCCGGCCTTGCTGTCCAGAGAAAACAGACCCGGAGCTGGGCTGGGCAGCGAGCACACCAGATTTCAGGAAAAGCGGAGATCAGCACCCGGGCCCGGGGCTGTCCAGAATTTAATCTGCTCCTCTGACCAATGGCAGGAGGAACTGGTGCTCGGAAATTAAAAGGCCCTTGTCCTTCCCATTCATTTCATGCCGCGGGAGAGAGCACAGCCCATCTGCAGGGGAAGCAGGACCCCATTGGCCCTGGTTCCTTCCTCACCATCCACCAGATTTCTGAGCAACCAGGAGAGGGAAAGAATGACCCTCTTTCTCCATAGGCAAGAAGCTACCAGCAAGTTCTTCCTCAGACAGAGCTAGGGACAGGAACTGAGTCGAAAAACCTCGAGTCCAAGGAGAGAGAGTATTTAAGAGCCACCCAGAGTGACTGAAACCGAAGCTAAGCTGCTCCTTCTCAGGACACCGGCCCAAGAACATCAGCCTGCAGGTCGCCAACTGAACCCCATCCAGTGGGTGCTTCAGCTCACAGCAGCCTCCAACACCCCAGACTAGGAATCAGGGAGTCCTCTAGAAACTAAATTCCGTTTTCTTATTAAAATGTTTCTTTAACTGAACCTAAAGGAAAAAAAGAGAGAAAATGGGCAGGCGAAGAGAACATGCACCTGATCTGGATGAAGTCCTTGGACCGCCCTCTGCCTCCCCTTCCTATTTTTAATAAGAATGTGTACAGGGGACATGATGTCAGGTGTCCTCGCCTCTGCCTCGTACCTGAGGTCAGGGAGAGGCAGGAAGGATCATCCTGGGTCTGTGGGAGGTGAGTCTGTCACCCTCACGCACGGGACCCTGGCCTCACAAGGGATGGGTCAGGCTTAGCAGCAGAGATGTTTCCCTGACCTTCGCTGGACTCCTCCTCCTCGTCCTCCTCCTCGTAGTCGTCATCGTAGTCCTCCTCCTCCTCCTCCTCATCCCCGGGCTCGAAGCTTGTCAAGGCCTCTAGCTCCTCCCCACTCTTCCCCTGCAGAAGAGCGTGGATCCTCACGGCCTCCTTCCAAGGAACGCCGCCCAGGTCGGAGGTGGGCAGCCGTGGCTCGTCCTGCTCCTCCTCCTCCTCCTCCTCCTCCATCTCAGACTCGGAACTGCTGAGGAGAGGAACACACACCCACAGTGAGGAACGACAGAGCCCCAGAAGGGGAAGGTTGAGAGCCACAGCCAGAGACTGTTCGTCCCAGGCAAGGCACAGGCAAGGCACCTGCTGAGCAGGAGGGGAGAGAGGGACGCAACAGAAGGGACGGAAAAAGTGGCCACCAGGGCAGGACGAAACGCATGCCCACGCAAGCCAACGCCCCGTGGGGTGTGGTGCTTTGACTCAGCAAATGCCAGGGTCGCTGAGTGGTCTCACGGAGGCCTCAAGGACACGAATGGGGGCAGTGGACTCGTTCTGATCCAAGCGCATGACCTGGGAATGGAGAGTGGAGAGAGTCCTCTTCCCTCCTGTTGCACGCCACAGTGTGGCACGCAGAGAAGGCTGGCAGTCAAGGTGCATACCCGGTGGGACTGCAGTGAGGCCACAGGCCCAGTTTCACGGTGTTCCCCAAGGGCCCTGATGTGCCAAGCCCTGGCCAGCCACTGGGGGGAGCATGCGGGTACAGTGCGCAGCAAGCACCCGCTCACTGCAGTTACGGCAGACTCTGGAGAAACTGTGGGGAAGTGGAGATAAGCCCAGCCTTGGCATCCGTCCCTCTGGACAAGCAGCAGCATTACCCACAGCAAAGGTGACACAGAAAAGCCCCTCACTCTCAAGGGGAGCTAATATGCAAATGTGTCCTGAGGAGGTGAGGGAGACCTGCAGGGCACGGTGGGCTGGGCGGAGGTGGTTCAAGTGGCACGTGGAAGAATCTGGCCCTGTAAAGTGTGGCCTCTGGACTGTGACAGTTTTCACTCCTGGTGCTATTTTTGCCTTCACATTTTCATTAGTCACTTTCTCACTAATGAACAACAATGTGCACCCCAGTGCATGTCATTTAATACCATTCAAACATGAAACAAGGATGGGGACGCTTCTAGGCCGCCTTGATGCTTTGGTGGGCAGAGGGAAGGCCACCTCATCCCTCCTTCATGGTGGAGGGTGCCCGGTGGCTTGTTCGAGGCTGTCCCGGCACCAGCGAGCAGGATGAAGCTGCTCTGAGGCAGAGAGGGGCCTCAGTGTGGCCCTGTCCTTGCTCCGTGCCACATCATGAGGATGGCTGCATGTGCCTAATGTGGGCAACGGATAAATACCTTGTGACAAGAACAACGAGGCCCCACGTACAGGTATAGTGCTTCCTGGGCTAGTTTTAGGACAGCTCAAGGCTGTGGGAGCGTAGCACGTGAGGCATGGAGCACAGAAAGGAGAGCAGAAAGGTCAATCCGTGCCTCTCTCCATGAGCTACAAGCTCAGCCCATCCCTGAGGCCTTGCTACTGGCTTCTGCAGACCTAAGACACAAACAGCCTCCCTGTTTTTCTGAAGCACAGAGAAACCTGGCAGGTGTTGTGAACTGTTCCCTTCCAGGCTATCATTTTCACAGGACCTTGGGTCTCTGGGTCTGGCCAGGGCCTTACCTCATGCAAGATTCGTGGTGTGAATTCGCAAGGCTCATTTGACCTTTCCTGGTTGCTCCCACACCTGCACCTCTGGGTCTGGCCTTCTGTGAGGCTGGGGGAAGGTGCACAAGGCAGAGACCCCCTTGTACTATCTCCTGGGAACTTTTTAAGTGGAGAGAATCCTTATATACACCAGAAAAAAATGCAACACAGACAACCAACGTCTCCTTCCCTCTGGGAGAGGAGGGTGACTTCTCAGAACACAGCCTCTCAGGAGAGAGGGGGCCAGAAAGCTGGTCACCACAGTCGCCCTCCCCTCATGGCAGGTGTCCATGTGTGCAATGGTAACAGCACGCTGTCCCATCAGGCTGTGTGATCTGCTTGCCTCCCTGGCCTGGGTCTGCTCTGCTCGCTGGGGTCCTACCACAGGATCCAGTATGGCCAAGATGCGCAGGAATGTACCAGGGACCACAAACACACCAGAGCAGGCTGCCCCTAACGTCAAAGGTGTCAGAGATGACACACCTCCCTGGTGAAGCCTCCATCAGAAGGAGCTGATGCTTCTAGTTGGAAGAATATCTAGCAGAAGTCCTCCCTGCGACAATTTACACCCCATGACTCATCCCAAAACCCCTCCCTGGATTTTCCCTTGGGTGTCTTCTCACTGGAGCACTGCTAGGGCCTGGCAGGAGGAAACAAAGCCAATAGGCATATAAATTAGAATCTAGAAAGACAAGGTGTGCTCGGCTTAAATAAGCCAAGCAGAGGTTCCACTGTGTCAGGAACGGCAGTCCCAAGGATGACAATGATCAGCAGTAATTGCTGTGCCGCACAAGGCACATCTGCAGAGCTCACCTCACATACAACCACTCCAGGGCACAGCTGGTATTTTTCCCATTTTTTAGAAACTAGGAAACTGAAGGCTAAGAAGGCTGATCACTTGTGTGAGGAGAAGTCAGGACTCCCAGCAATATCCATGCCATGCCAGGCTGCACCTGGCTGGCTGGGTCTCCAAAAACCCACTAGCAGCTGCCAGGGTGGCAAGCCCAGGAGGAAGGTCGAGATCAAGCTCAGAAACCTTAAAAAGTGGAGGCCAGAATTCAGGCAGGCCCTACCACCCAGGAGGCAGCCTGGGCGATTTTCAAAGAGAAATGTGGAATCACAGCTTTCACTTTTAAATTGACCCTCTCCTAATCTCAGACACACTTGGTGCAACTGTCCGTCCAGCTCAGCCATGCCCCTATATCCCATCCACCCTGACATCCATGCAAACAGGCTACTGCTAAGCAGACTGCTAGAGAAGATGTACACTGTCCAGCAATCTTTACAAAGCGGACATTTAATCCATGCTAAAACCTGCATCCTGCTCAGCAATGGCTCACGTTGCTGCCTGTGCTGAAAAGCAGGAGAGAGAGAAACAGGCGGGCACCCCCATTTATTCATGGTTGGCCTTGAAGGAGGGGCTTTTCCTTGTGGGGTTATTCTGACAGAGGGCAAGGCCCATTTGGGCTAGCCTGCCATCGACTCTGGGGGCCCTTGTAACCTTGGCTGCCCACCTAGAAAAAGCACCTGTCTGCTCCGGCCTCTCTGATGTGCTCCTCAGAGCCACGAATCTTACCAATTTTACAACACTGAAGAGCTCCAGCAGACAGCACTGCACGAGGCCTCTTCATTGTCTGGGACAAATTCTTCCACTCATGGAAAAACAATAGTAAAATCACAAAGGCAATTCTCCCTTGTCTTTGGCTACTCAGTCTTTCCATAGAAAAAGTGCTATTTCCATAGTCCCTTCCAGAAGACGGGCCCTACCTTGCTTGCAAGGAAGGGTCCTGGAGCTGATTAAGCCTAGGTCAGGAACCTATGAAAAGGTTTAGGACTTACAGGGCTTATGTCAACTAAACTATGAATCAGGTGATGAGAATCACCTAGGGTGTTTGTTAACAACGGACATTCCTGGCCTCCAGCTCAAACCCACAGAATTAGATACTCAAGGGAAGGACCCAGTACTTACATTTTACCAAGTGTCCCAGGTGGTATTTATCACCAGGGAAATTTGGAAAACAGAGCGGGGATAATCAAAGTGCGGTCTCTGGACCACAGTATCACTTGGGAACTTATCAGAGATAAAAATTCTTGAGCTCTACCCCAGACCAGCTGAATCTGAAACAGCATAGCAATTGGGTTTTCACAAGCCACTGCATGACCCTGAGGCATGGAACGCTGGGATACCAATGCCCGGGGACAAGGCCAAACCCAATTTCTGGCACTTAACCCACCTGTTTAAGGAAACCAATAAAGGCTGAATATCCCTTATTCAAATACTTGGGAACAGGAGTGTTTTGGATTTCAGATTCTGGAATATTTACATCATACTTACTGGTTGAGCATCCTTAATCCAAAAATATGAAATCCAAAATGCTTCAAAATCTGAAACTTTTTGAGCTCTGACATGACAGTCAAAGAAAATGCTCATTGAACATTCAGGATTTCAGATTTTTGCATTAGGGATGCTCAGCCTGTATCAGAATCCCTCCTAGTGTGGGGTCCCTGTGCGTGCTTAGAGCTGCGGGGTAATATGGTGATAACGACAGCATTGCTGGCATTGACTCAGTGCTCACTAGGTGTCAGGCCCTGTGTCAGTTGTTTTATTTGATTTAATCCTCATAACAAAAGGTACAGTGTCCTTTGCAGATGAGTGAGGCACAGAGAGGTTAAGTAACTGGCTGACAGCTGGTAGATGGCTGAGCTGGGTTTCATGTCCAGATCTGCTGGACTCCAAAGTCATGTTCTGAAACATCACACTATACTGCCTCCTGCAGCAGGTGCTATGTTAAGAGTTCTCTGGGTTGGACTGGTAAACTTAAAACTATGTCATTCCTCACCTTCAGGGCTAACATCTCATCAAAGAAGGACTGAGGGCTGACAGCGCCCCTCACTCTGTCCTTGGTGCTGCAAGATGGAAAAAACACACGTCCATTTTATGCACCTTATTTCTTGGGGAAATAAGATAAAATCTGTATCTCCTTCCTCTGGGCTCTTGAGAGACCATTTTTCACTCTGCATAGCATCTAACGCTAGGTTTTTTGTTTCTTTAACTTGAATCTAAGTACGGTGGGGGCATCTGCGGCACTGGGTCGAGGGTGACTGATTCCATGCTCTTCTGTGCTGCCCTTCCTACACATGCTGCCATAAAGCCACGGTGCATCCTTCCCGGGCTGCCTTTGCTACCTTATGTGACCTTGCTGCCCAGGTTATGAATTACAGAGGAGAAAAAACTACACTGCAGGCAAGTGGCACTGACAACATTCACCCTGAGTTCAAGTCGTCAGCTCTGTGAGACACAGAGGATCTCTCACCCCCATGGCGGGCTCTCCTCACCCGAGTGCAGCAGGGAGCGTGGCGTCTGCATGGGTGCTCTGGCTAGAGATGCAGTTATGTGACTAGTGACGGCTTCAGAACTGCAGGTTCCAAGGGGTAGGCTGCCCTGGAATGCCTGGAACAGCTGTGTGTGGGGACAGCCCCAGAAGTGGACAGCCAGAACATGCCTGATACCAGGGCTGAGGTGGTGGGAAGTAGCTCTGCCCTGCAAACGCCCTCTGAAAAACATTCCTGACCTTAAACAAATGCTCTGTTTTCTTTATCCGCATACATTCCCTTAATCATGGCTAGATAAAAGTGCTCAGCGTGTGCTTCATATGCTCTCGAATGTCAACCCAAAGCCTCCGCCCATCTGGGGTTGCAGCAAGTGCTCCTGCCCTGAAGCCTGCAGGAGGGCCCATCCTATGCTGGCTTTACCCCTTCTTTTTATCTTCATAGATTTCTGCTGAGCACTGGGAGCCTTCCCTGCTGACGATGTATGCGTGGGAGTACAGGGCAGCAGGCACAGGAGGCCTGCAGGGCCGGCGGGTCCTGCACAGGCATCGCTCAGGTACACAACATGAACACACTGGGACTGGCTAAGCATGAAACCACTTGCTGCTGCATGTGACCCCCGGGACAAACATCCTCTGTCCCTCTCTTTACCCACAGGAGGAGAAAAGAAACCCAGAGAGTAAGGTGGCTTCCCCAAACTGGCACAGTGAGCTGGCAGCTGGGTCACCCCTGGCTGCAGCCCCAGTGCTCCTCCACCAGACCCTGACCCCCACCAGTGCACTGCCGTGGGGCTGCTTTCTCCCTATATGGAAGTCTTTTCCCTACAGTGAATCTGTGAACAGCAACTGAGGGCAGAACCTGTGACTTGTTATTTTTTCGCTACCTTTCAATGATTAACCCTGTGCTACAGGCATGGCAGTTGTTCAACACACACTTATTGAACATCTGAATTAAGTCACTGGGTGTGATCGTTACTGCTAATGAGATGGAGAGATGAGGGAGAATGGATCACAGGGCAGCAGGGAAACAAGAAAGAATCCCAGGCTTGGACCCGAAAGCTTGAATCTCAATCTTAGCTCTTGTTGAGTCACCATCTGTTTCCTGACCTACAAGGTGACAAAATGCATGTTCTGTCTACTTTACAGGGTTCCTGAGAGGTGGCGGATACGTATTCCTTTGTGCATGGTCCAGCATATGCAAAGTAACCCACAGGCGCTTACCTGTGCCAAGTGCTGTTTTAAACACTTTATACATATCAGCTCAGTTAATCCTCACACCAATTCTGTGCAGGAGATACTAATATTACCTCTATTTCACAGATGAGAAAACTGAGGCATACGGAGGTTACATAACCTGCCTAGGGTCACACAGATGGTAAATGCAAGAGTCAAGATTCAAAGCCAGCCAAATCCGAGTCTGGCTCAGATCCCACGCTGCTGACAAGCTGCTGTGCTGTCCTGAGGTGAGGCAGGACATTCATCTGGAGGAGCTCATGTGGCCATTGCCCTAGGGAGGAGGGGCAGGGCAGGCCGCGGGCATGGCTGACCTGCTGGCTACGTCCTCTTCTGCGCCCTTGTCCAGCACACTGCTCAGGTTGTGCTCTGCCTGCGTCTCCTCGGGCACCTCCTCCAGCTCCTCTGCCTGCTTCAGCGACAGGCGGTAGTTCTCCAGCTCGATCCTCTCGGGAGTGCCCCTTGGCCTCTTGGCAGTGCTGGGTTCCTCCAGGCCATTCACACCTGAACCTGCAAGACAAGCAAGAAGCAACGTCCTGATGACAAAGGACAGAAACTGTACACAGGCCACGAGGACAGAGGCGGTGTCCGAGGGAGCCTCCACTCATCCAAGCAGCCGCGTTCACTGCAGTGAGGTCAGGGCAGCCTCCATGGAGTCAGACCGAGGGCATATTGAAAGTCAAAGAGGTCATGGCTTTGTGGAGGCCGGGAAAGGAGCCTGATGTGAGTGGCAGTTCCCTAAGCGGGAGAAACAGACTCCTGCCACGTCTGCTCCTACAGCTGGGTGAGCTCATGCGCCCTGAGGTAGCTCTTCTCACTGCCTAGGAAGAAAGCGCCTCTAATGTAGAAGCCACTGCGGAGCAAACCTTCCAGCACCCCCACCCGCCAATCCAGGACCCCGTGAGGCATGCGGGCTGGCTGTGTCCCTCCCTCCGCTGCGCAGCAACTGGGCCAGGCCTGAGTGCAGGGTTGAGGTGGGGCCCAACATCTTCTGATGGAAAAGCGCACTTCCCCCTTGGTGAATGACCAGCTGTCTGTGGGGTGACACTTAGAAACACGGGGGTACCTGCCCCCAGCATCCTTATATCCAGTGGCCTCGGCATCACTGAGCAGCTCTGCCTGTCAGTGACTACACTGTGGGTCACAAAGTGGCGATTTTAAAAATCCTGCCATTTACTCCACTATGATTCTTTTGTTAAAAAAAAAAAGCACATTTCCCATTTTCTTTATATTTTCAAGTATCACTACGGACTCACGGATGTTTAAAAATTAAATGCTGCACTTGACTATTGCGTCTCTTTAGTTTCCCTTAATCTGGAAGAGTTCCTTGTTTCTGTCGCTGTCATCATCACCTTTTTGATGTTCCTTAGTGCCCTGTGTGGGTCAGAGGCGGCCTCCCATTGTTCTTCAGTGTGTCCGCTGTGACATGATGGAACACACAGGTGCAGAGTCAGACAAATCCAGGTCAGACGGCCGACTCAACAGTGGCTCGCTAGAGAATCTCAGGAAAATGATGTAGCTACGCAGAGCGCGTTTCCTGACCTATACGTGAGGCCTACATCCATCTCCCGGGGTCATGATAAATGCTGAGTGACGCGCACACGAGTGGAGGGGCGTGTGCTGTGTCCCACATCTGCCACACGCCTTCCCCTTTCACAGAAGCCTCGCACACGTTTGCAGTATTCAGCAAACATCCAGTAACAGTTGCACCACCAATTTGTGTGCATTCCTGCACGGGCAAGTTGTGTCCATTCGCTCTGGATTGTAAACAATAGTTATTTGACAAAGAAAGATGGGAGGGGGCAGCCTGAGCCAAGGCACAGGTGACACACAGTGGCAGTTTGGTATTCCTAGACCTTCGAGGAGAAGCAGACTTGATGTGGCACAGAGAAGCCAGAAGCATAGGTGGGAGCAGCTCACAAGCACCTCGCATCCCGGCTGCGGCAGGGCCCTGGTTTCCGTGATATTCAAAGCTCTAAGAGATGACGCTGGGTTTTGGCACACAACATCCCACCAACCCAGTTCTGGGTGACAGCTGATCTGTCAGGTGAAGCCCCACTGAAGGGAAGGAGAGGGAATTCTGATTTAGTGATGTTTGTGGCATAAAGGGGTGCAGAAGTGTTCTGGAGACTGGCACTTCTGCTGTGAACAGTATTTGGGGCCTCTTTGTAATGGCATTAGAGCATTTTATGAATCCAGGTAGGCACTGAATTAAAGTCTTAGTGCATCTGCTGGAATTACCAGGATCTTTCACCAAAGGGCATCTTTCAAATTTTCTAGTGAATCTTTACTAAAAAAGCAAGATCTGGTGGCATGTTCATTCACAAATTCAGGTAGATGTATAATGATGGGATCTATTATGGACTGCCTTGGGTCCCCCCACAAAAACTATAATGTGTTGGAGGCCTGGTCCCCACTGTGACAGTGTTAACAGGGTGAGAAATCCTACTGCGGTAGCTGAAAGGTGGGGCCTTGAAGAGGCAATTGCGTTGATGGTTTCAGGGTGGGGAGGGGTGTAGTTCCGAGGGCTTTAAAGGGTAAGCACGTGAGAGTCTCTCTCTGCTCCACCGCTTCTACCACGTGACACCCCTTGGTCACCACTGCCACCACCAAGGCCTTCACCAAATGTGTTCCCTGGACTTTGGACTTGCCAGCCTCTGAAACGGTAAGCAATAAATTTCATTTTCTTTCTAAATTATCCAGTTCCAGATATTTTGTTATAAGCAACAGAAATAGACTAACACAGGATCTGAACGCAGATCCTCAGGCTCACCTGTGCCCTGTCCTAGTCCTCACACCCATGGGAGTGTCATTTTAAATACTCATGCTCCATTCTTCAACACTAAGCTCAGGACCCAAAAAGTGTTAGCTGTGATGCTGGACTAGGGCATGTGGAAGATCAGGAAATATGTGAACTATAGGTAACAGAAGAAAAAAGGCAGGCAGCAAAGCTGGCAGGTCCGGTCCCAGCACTCTCCAAACCTGCCCACCCAGGCACGGGAGAGCACAGCCTTTGACTGCCAGCTCATCACTTCCAAACACCAGCCTTCCTGCCCTTCTCCTCATCAAAGCCCACAGTCCCAACGTGATACAGACGAGAGGCTGAGGGCTCCCCAGCTGCCACCATCCAATTCTTTCCTTCCCATCATGGACTTTTCACAACTGTCCTTAAACAGAAAGCAGATGAGAAAAGGACTTGATGGTGAAGCAGCCACTCACGCACAAGCTTTCTGGGAACTCTACACATTAAAGCCATATTTCTTTTAGATGAGAGAAGAAAATTAGAGTAAGAACTATCACTTCCAGGAAATCAAACAGCTAACATCCTCAGTTCAGATCCAAGTGATTTCAAGGTACATTGAACAAAAAGACTCCTGCAGAAAAACACTCCAGAAGTGAAATCTGTTTTAGTGGATAATGCATGCTGTTTGCCAGGAATTCTACCGGATCCTCAGGAAACAAAGCCGATTAAAACAGTCTCTCCTGGGCCAGCCCTGTGGCTCACTCGGGAGAGTGCGGCGCTGGTAGCGCCGAGGACGTGGTTTCAGATCCTATATAGGGATGGCCGGTGCGCTCACTGGCTGAGCGTGGTACAGACAACACCGTGCCAAGGGTTGTGATCCCTTTTCCAGTCTAAAAAAGAACCCCCCCCCCCCAAAAAAAAATCCAGTCTCTCCTCTTGAAGGGCTGTGGGCTAGTCATGACAGAGATGGACGTGGGTCATTTCAGGAGAATGTATCAACTCCTACGACGGACGTGTGTGTGTGTGTGTGTGTGTGTGTGTGTGTGGTACTACGGGAAGTTTAGCCCAACCAGGAGATTTAGGGAAGACGTTCTAGAGGAACATGAGGTTAGCCAGCTTAAAACAGGAGTATGTGAGGTAGGAGCTGCCATGCTGTAATTGAGGTAGCTGAAGTTCAGGGACAGTAAATAAGCTGCCCAGTCATACAGCCAGTGAACAGCAGGGCCAAGGCTTGAATCTGAGGAGGAAAGCTGTAACTCCGATGACTACCGTGCTGTCTCTAGACCACAACATGAACAGAAGAAAAAGAAGGTACGTTCCAGAGTCCTACTCTGTTTTCCCCTTTGGGAGTCTTCTCCCCGCTTATAATTTTCTTTTCTTTTTTTTTTTTTGACCGGTAAGGGAATCGCAGCCCTCGGCACGGTGTGGTCTGCACCATGCTCAGCCAGTGAGCGCACCGGCCATCCCTATATAGGATCTGAACCCGCGGCCTCGGTGCTACGAGCGCCACACTCTCCCGAGTGAGCCACAGGGTCGGCCCCCCCACTATAATTTTCAATTTTTGAGATGAAAGACACAGAACTTCACAAAAGTGTCTTAGAGCAGAGAATCTGGCGTCTGGAACGACATTCTGTCCTCCTCCCAGTGTTATTTCTCTGGAGATTCCACAAGCTCTGCAGATTAAGGGTCATCAAGGACCAGAACTTGGCAGAGCCTGGGGCTTCAGGGAGGGAAAATGTTGATTTAATTCCAGGCTTAGCCTCAACCAACAAAAAAGAAACCAGAAGCACTCAGAACTATTCAGATGATTCACACATCAGTTCCTGAGAGAAAGGATACTTTGGGCTGTGCACGTCTCACTGGAGATTCTGTAAAAATGGAGAGGACAGAAGTAGAGACGTTTCTACTGCTCCAGTCCTACTGGGCCCACCAGTCCCTGGGGGCTCTCAGCGAGGAGGCAGTGCACTGGCAGGATGGGTGTACCCTGAGGCTCAGTTTTTCCAAAGGGAAGGTGGCACTCAGAGGATAACCTCAAAATGCCTGGGAAATTCTGAAGAAATAAATCAATGACATCAACATCCTTGATTCTCTATCCTAAGCAAGGGGCTATTCCTCAGATTGATGAGATGGGGATGATGAATTAGAACATTGCAGATGTGGCCGTGCGGAGGCCTGGGCAGTGGCTGTGGCACTGACAAGCACAGAAGCTCCCCAGGCCCTGCTCGCATCAGCTATTGGAAGCGCCGGGAGAAGGGAGCCAGAAGAGCAGGCGCAATGCCACTGCAGCGCTGGCTGGGAAGGTCAAAGCGCAGACCTGGCCAGGGCCACTGCCCAGGCACTGCACGTGCTTTAGTGCAGGGACTTTCCAGCTGAAAGTGCAACCAAATGTCTGGAATAACTTCCAAGGCCGATTTTTCACTAAGTCAGGGCAGGCAGACCAGGTCACCGCGAGGACAAGTACAGCTTCACACATACCAAAAGGAAGCAGCTCCCAGGACCTGGGCTGCATCCTAAATAGGAAAAAGGCTCTGGGCCTGTCCTGAGGTTCTGTTTTGGAATAGTTTCTGCCTGCGTGAGCTCCATACTTCATTCTGAAAGACGTTATTTTTCCTAACAGGACAACCTGCTCTCAGCTGATGTGCAAGAGCTGCCAGAAGCCTTTATTTGTATCCGTCTGGTTCCTGGAGAGGTAGATCCCAGGTCCTCGGCAGGGAGCTCTTTTCCCCCTTTCCTCTCTGTGTTGGTAATGAAGCCCCACTGTTGGGGG